ACACTTATTAGACAAATTTTCATAAATACGAGCTGTCCTGTAATAAAACTAACTTACTGTTTGAATTTCAATCATAAATTGCTACTACATAATTCTGTGAATAAAATTGAAATAAGGATATTACAGTTTTTAGTAAAGAGTCTTAAGGCCTTATTTTGAGTATATCTCGATGAGTACTGACATAAATTTATATGCTACATCTACTAAAACTTTTTTACACAAAATTTCATGCTAGCTTACTTAATTTACTTAGTAATGCTATGAACGAAATTCAAATAAAGATACTATTGTTTCATTTTTATTTTTTATACGTATAATGTGATGGTGTAAATGCAATATACATAAAAATGAATGAAAGTAAGAATACCATGATAAAAAATATGATTATTCCAAATAAAGTGAATCAATGAGAGTACTAGTTCTTAATGTAATTTGATATAAGATCACAAGACCTCATGCATGAAGGATAAGTGAAAGAGTCTTAAAAAGCTCCATCAAATGATGCAGAAAAATATACAGGGTGGGGCACTTAAAATAGGCCACCTGAATAACTCGGCTCCTATTGGTGACAGAAAAAAATGCGTCAGGCCAATATTATTTGGTATCGAGAGGCTGATCATCTGGTGTTACTAGTTTTTTGATAGGTGAAGGCGTCAAGGAGATATGCAGGTCGTCCCCATTTTTTTAAATGGAACGGTATGTTTTTTACTTAAATCCTGATAGAGTATTTCAAGACGAATACAACGCCCTATTGGGAAGATCATTCGTGGTCTGTGTTAAGCTAATTGTGATGGAAAATAGTTTACTCTGAGGAAATGGTTAAGCACCGTTGATATATTTATTTAACAGTAATACACCACTAATACAAGTGTTCAAAATGTATAATGTGTGTTCACGCTGTACAGTTCATCTTTACATACTATAATTAGTCGTTTATGAGAATCTCTATCGAGCCAAGTGTATTTCAAGATTCCGAAATGCATTATTCAATAGCAGAGAAAGTAAATACGGTTTTTGTTTATGGCGAATGTCGCCAAACTGTAAGGGACTGTAAGAAACGGTAACACCTCTGGACTTCTTTCTGTGAGGAAAATTAAAGCAGTAAGCGTATAATGAAATACTATCAACCAAAGAAAATATGAAAGAACGTATAAGAAGAACTTGTGCCGCGATAAACCGAACTGAAATTCAACATGCCATATTATCCGTCAAGCAACGCTTCAGAGCATGCATCAGTGTTCAAGGTCACCATTTTGAACACTTGTATTAGTGATGTATTACTGTTAAATAAATACATGAACGGTGCTTGACTATTTCCTCAGAGTAAACTATTTTTCCAGCTTAACCCAGACCACGAATGATCTTCTCAATAGGTCGTTGTATTCGTCTTGAAATACTCTATCAGGATATAAGTAAAAAAACATACCGTTCCATTTAAAAAAACAAGGATGACCTTCATACCACCTTGGCGTCTCCACCTGTTAAAAAACTAGTAATACCAGATGATCAGCCTCTCGATACCAAATAATATTGGCCTGATGCATTTTTTCTGTCACCAATAGGAGCCAAGTTATTTAGGTGGCCTGTTTTAAGTGCCTCATCCTGTATACATATAGTCGCATTTCAAATAACAAATTTATCTATTGTATCTCATTAAGTAATAACGTAAAAAAAAATTTGTTTCCATTAAAAGATGTGCTTTGATTTGTGTAAGCCAAACTGTGTGTCGAACGGAGAGAGTCAGATATGGATCGTACAGCCAATTGTAATTTGGGAGTATCAAGGGGGAGTAGATTTGGATAGCGGCGCGATAAGGCAGAATATCAATATTATCCACAAAATTAGCCAATAATATAGGTTTACGGGATTACACTTTTCGTCCTTATGTAAAATGATTTTTGGGTCGTCGGATACCTCTTTGAAAAGATGAAAATTAAATGT